CACAAACACATTTTTCTTCTGTCCGTCTGAAGTTAAATCAAACCAATTTTTTTTTTGTTTTAGCTTAGTTAGAATGACCAAATTTGTTTTTATTTGTGAAATGCCAGAAAATGCAGCAAGAACATTCTTTAAAAATGTTTCTATTTTCCCAAAAGTTTACATACAGTTGGACAGTATCAGGGATAACTGTCTCTGAAAATGTATGGTTTGAGTTAAACTGAGAAATGTCGAGATTAATCTCTGAATTTTTTTAGAGAAAAAAAAAAAAACATGGAAACATCTGAGTTTGAAAAGTCAGAAATTTTCATTTATTTTCTAGAAGATTTCTGAGATCAATCTAAAAATTCCTTGATTTTTATCTAGGAATTTTAAAACTTTTCAAACTCAGAAATTTCCATTTTGTTCATAAACATTTCTGAGAGTAATCCTTTCTGGTTAATCTCAAACTTTTTTCTATCAAGTCTGTGACTTTCCAAAATCAAAACTTATGTTTTTTGTAGAAAATTTCTAAGATTATCTTAAAAAATTATAATTTCTCTGTCTCGTAAATTTTTGACTTTTTCTAGAAAATCTAAAAATTAATCTAAAAATTTCATAATTTTTTTCTTGCAAATTTTTGACTTTTTGAACTCATAAATTTCCTTAATTTTCCTATAAAATTTCTGAGCTTATTTTCAAAATTTCTGAGCTTTTTGGAGGAAATTTACCCCTCCTTTCTTTCCCATCTACAATGAATGTTTGAATCTTGTGTTTGTTTGTTGAGACTAAAAATGGAAATTATTGTTTTGCTAAATCCGCGACATTCACAACAATATTGTACGTAGATTAACACAATATCAGAAATTGGGTTAAGGTTGCAGAAAACGTCATCTTGCAGGAGTTTCGTGTGACCTTTGAACTTCCGGTGTGTTTTAAGATGTCAGTCCAGCTGTATGGACTCCATTGACACCTGAAGGCATCGTGAACCTCCAGACGTGATCTGACTGAGCTGTGATCATCATACAGGATAAATTCACACCCTGAACCACATCAGGTCTGTTGGACTTTTGTTCCCCTCTCCTACAAAGCCTTTATCATAGCACATTTTCTGCATTTACAAAATGCTAAAAGGCCAGAACTTGCAGCCAGCAAGGATTATTTACAACCACAGAGAGATAAAACCGCCTCTGGACCGCGCGTCTTGGCAGCGGAGGTGTTTAACAGCTACAGTTCAAAGAATGCAAACACAGACAGAACCACAGCGCTGCTGCGGCCCGATGTCTGGTTTCATCGGCTCATTTGGTCTGTGGGAATCCCAACACTACGCTTCCACTTAAGAGTTTATATGAAGCAATAAAGCTGCGGTCTCTTCGATCCGCTGATGAATGGGGAAAAGAATGAAAACATTTATTTTCTTGCTGTCAACACAGCGATGTGGCAGCCAGGGATTTAATTGGGTTTTATTGAAAAATGCTGACAGAAACAGAAAAATCCTGAGAATCTATCTTGGTTTTTTTTATAACATTTTTATTTTAACACAGGTTTTGTTTTCGTCAACACTGAGGAAGAACAAGCTGAATAGTAGAATAAATATGTTGATGAAAGCGAAGGATTTACCTCTGCTAGGACAAATAGCCGCTCCTTCAGCAGACTGGAAACCCGGAAACGACAGAGACCAGTGATGAGGAGCGTGTAGTGAGGCTTCGGCCAGTTACTGCCAACAACCTGAACGGCGATTCCTGCTGTACCGATCCTGGAGAGAGAGAGAAAGAAAGAGGGAGATTGAGAGAGAGAAAGGGAGAAAAAGAGAAGCAAAGACAAATAGAGGGAGAGATGAGAGAGATTTTAAACAGAGGATGGAGAGAAGACAAAGCAGAAGGAAAGAAGGATGATAAAGGATGAAGGAAATGTAAATGAAGGAAGGAACAAGGGGATGCATGAATGAATGAATGGCAGATGAAAGAATGGAAAGAATGGAGGAAAAGCAAAAGGAAGGAATGTTCCCAAAGTCACTTGATAAGCCAATAAATGTTGAATTTGACAGCAAAGCTGAAGACAAACTGAGCAGGAAAACCACAGAATCATAAATACCTCCACAAAAAGACAACTTATAATAATAACAACAACAATAAAAATAATAATAAAAAGAGTCAGGTTCTGCTACAGGAAGCACAGGGTCTGCCTCTGGTTCTGACTGGGTCTGAAATGGGTCAGTAAATTATCATAACCAGCAGCTGCAACGGTTAGATCTTCCCAACGCTTCAAAATGTAACTGGACGGACGGACGGATGGATGGATGAATGGGTGGATGGATGAATGGATGGACGGATGGAATAAAAGAAAAGTCTACAGAATGTGACTTTAGGAATTTATTTATTTACTTTTCTTTTTAAAAAGCAACTCATTTGTTTGTTTCAATCTATTTCAAATATTGTTTAATAAAGGGCCGTTTGAATCTGATTAATTGATTAATCATCCGAATAATTAATAGAATAATAGTTTTCTGAAATAATCATTAGTTGCAGCCCCAGATGAAGGTGGTGAAAGGATAAACCAACAGGAGCTTCAGCTGCAACTAAGTAACCAAACAAAGTGACTCGCAGCTGATAAAAAGCTTAAAGTCCACTCCTCTGTGGTCACCTTGAATGAAAATGCTACCGCTGGACTGTGGACATTTCTGGAATAAATCGCTTCCCACAGCAAAAATCAAGTCAATTAGACGCTTGGAGTGTAACTCAGTGACAGGATATGGCCTGATAAAGCTGTCTTTTTTATTATACATGAATATAAAACCTCTGCCTTACCTGGACAGGACATTGAACCTTCTGTGAATTCTGACACTTTCAGTGCGGTTCCGGATCTTTGAACATAATAACTCAGGTTTAACGAGTCCCAAACTGCCTTTAATACGACTTCCTCTCTAAAAGTTGCACGATCCAGTCCAGATGCAACCAGTATAAGACTTGTGGTTGCTGACCTAGACTGGGTCTGATGTGGTGGAGCAGATGAAAAGAAAAATGTTAAAATACCCTTTGGTTGTTTCACACACTGCTGAGAACATTTAGGATCATTATGAGATACAAGGCATTAAATCCTCTGATTGGGCGATGAAACACTTTATAATGGTTTACGTAATAATTTGTCTTTTATGTTTTTTATTTGTGTCAACTTTTCTGGGTTTTTTTTTTTTTTTGCTTATTTGTTTCCTTGTGAGACACATTTTTGTAATTTATTTGTATAGTTTATGACTTTGTTTTTGTTTTTATCCATTTTGATTAAAGCCTGTTTTTCTTAATAATTAATTAATTAATTAATTTTCAATTTGTTTTTTATTCTACACTTTATCTTTTGGATGGTTATGGTTATTTTATTTATTTATTACCCCTCTCTTTAGTTCTGCTGGGATGTATTTTTATTTTTAGGCTGATTTTTAAGTATTTTCTTCTTTTGGTTTATGACTCTAATATGATGCTTTTTGTTTTATTCATCCATGACTCTTATTTACATTTAGTTTTTGAATGTAAATAAGATTATTTCATAATAATTTTTTAAAAGTGGTTTCTGACCCATTTTTTCATTTGATATGACTCATCATATCAAATAGTTTATTATGCTTTTCATGTTAGTAATTTATTTGACTTGGGGGTTTTATACCTTATATCTTAACGTCTTTATTAGGTCTATGATTAAAGTCACTTCATTCATTTTTGGTCATTGACCCGATGGCCTATTACGTCACAGCTCCAGACCCGACCAGTTACCCCACCAGTGTCTCCAGCTTCGCAGCGGACTGGTTCTTACTGGTGAAGCGGCGGCAGTGGTTCGGAGTCCTGTTCGGGGTCTCTGGTGTTGGGGATCACTCCGATGATGGTGCTCTTCAGCGAGGTTCCCTTCAGCAGCCGTTGGCCCACTAGCTGCATGTTCCGCGGCGAGTCCACGCTGAACCGGACCGTGGAGCCCGGCAGGAGCACTCCTTCGTGGGTCAGCAGCAGCGGCAGACGGTTCGGTATCTGGATCCCCGCGGCTGAGGCCATTTCTGAGGAGCTTGACCGAAAAACAGGTCTCTGTTTACAACACAGGGTCCTGAACTGTCGCCACTTCCGGGTTAAAACTTTCAGAACAAAAGCTTCGACAACTTACAGCTGTGTGAAAATGTTGGTGTACGGCCAGCGCGGAGGGACAAACGCTACGTAACGAGAAATTACAACAGCTGGTGTTGAGCTTTCTGCCCGTTTCCTCATACATTAAATATTTTTACGGCAAAGGGACTTTATTTAAAAATCATCTAACATTTTTGAAGTATTAGATTACTATTAATTATTACATGTTTAATAGTTATTCAAACAAAATTTTAACAAGTAGTCAAGGAAACAGACCACTGTTGTGCTCCACGTTCAGCATCCTTTTTTTGTCTTTTGTTCCTTTTTTTTTTTAGGGGTGACATAACAGATTACCTCACTCCTTAGAAATACAAGTTACGGCTAAAGTGTGCCTGGCTGTGTGCTTTACTGGCGATAAAAAAAATAAACTAGAGAACACACTGACTGAAAGTAAAAGAGCTAGAAAAAAGCTCTTTTTTTTCTCATGAGTGAGAAATTACTTTTATTAGTACTTTTCACTTGGGTCATTTACACGACTCACATGATCAACAACTGGATATTGCTACTGGAGCAAACCACAAATAAGACAACAGGAAGTAGTTGGAGGATTGTAGAGGATCATATTTTTTAATGATTTATGGCATGAATAAACTTATTCACTTGTGATTTTAATTGCATTTCTTATTCAATGGAAACATGAATTAAAATTGTGCTTTTTCGGCATTAGTGGAATATTGACAAAGTTTTGCGGACGTATGTAAAGGAAACACAGCTCCTGTCTCTATGTTGCTGCTCTCGTCCTGACCACTTTTTCTAGTTCATTCAAAAATGGATATCCATTTTTTCGGAGATAAACAATTATTTTTCTCATACAAACAATAAATTGATTATTAATTAAATGTATTGAATCAAGACACAGAGTTAGTTGATAAAAATATTGATTTATTTTCATAAAAGTACTGTCAGAGCGTTACACACTTCCAAAAACAACAACAAAAATTCAATATCTTATGTATAAAACAATAATCTGTGAGACCGCAAACGTTCATGTTTTTGCAGGTTTTTTCTCTGTTATATCTGAATCAAGCTGCTCTTGTAATTACACAAGTAAAAGCACTTACATCTGGTTTCTGAAGCACGAGAAAAAAGCACTCAGTTTTATTTAGAAAGAAGATACAAACATTGTTTTTTGTGCACATTGCTGTATATGTCTTGTTGCATATGTGAACCAGCTTAAAATTGGACCTGAATTTAGTTACACGTCAAGACTAAATGCAGACTGAAGTCGTAACTTGTGCAAACAGAACCATGTCACAGATAAAGATTGAAACCAAACTCAATGAGAAACGTGAAGCTAGCAAGGTGGTTCAATAACTTAAATTCTGCAATAAACATTTCTACTGAGCTCCATCTCTTTAATCCAACATGCATGAGTAAATAGTATTCCTGACTGCTGTCTTGCAACATGAACTGGTTTGTATGTGTGTGTGTGTGTGTGTGTGTGTGTGTGTGTGTGTGTGTGTGTGTGTGTGTGTGTGTGTGTGTGTGTGTGTGTGTGTGTGTGTGTGTGTGTGTGTGTGTGTGTGTGTGCAGGACTTTGTTTTCTTTTTTAAAGCTGGGGATAGTTTGTGGGTCCTTTAGAAACCAGCTCTGCTTCAAACTGTTAGAAATAACAAACCAAGCAAACCAGCTTGTCGGGAGTTACAGGAAATGAACCACGTGTCTTAAGTTAAAGTCTGTGCCACTGCAAGACATCCAAAGACAACATGGTTTAAGAGTTTAGACTCCCGGTGGTACAAGGGTGAAACTAAAATCTGAATCTGCTGCAGACAAAACATAAATACAAACTTTAGTTGTTCAAACGAATCCTCTGTGATAGTGGCTCACATGCAGAAGACAATCTGGATGGGGATGATTTACATGGAGCTGATGTCTAAAATGTACATTAGAGGTCAAAGATGAGCAATCAGAAGCGGCAACAATCACCGTTGGATGCTCCTGTTACCGCCTGTAACCATGGACATTTGCCCTCTGGTGGCCGTTCTCGTCACGCCCGCTCCTTGAAAATCACCAATTTCTCCTTCACATGTGGACAAACATTGCCTTTAGAGTGCTTAACATGGAATAAAACCGTTTTAATCAGTAGGTGTGTGATGTCCGAGTGTTTCTGTATTTGCTTTAGATTTTAGTAAAATAAATTATTTATTTGGAATAAACCGAAACAGAGAAACAGGACTCTCAGGTCATTTTTGAAATGTTGTGAAGAAAGTGCAGAATAATAAAATTAAAGATGATAAAAACCAAATCATTTATTTATTACAAAGCATCCTGAAATTACTTCTGTCTTGCATTACATTTCTGCAAATATAACCCAAGAAAAGATTTTTATCTAATGTAAATTATAATTTTTTTAATTTGTAGTTGATTATTGTGCTACACAACGACAGCTGAAAACAAGCAAAAGAAGATGAGTTTGAGGTATAGGCTGAGATAAAACCAAGAAAAAAATCACCTGTGTAACACGGTGGTGACTCTGTTATGGAGTGGGTTTGTTTTATTGCACATGATGTGGTTCACATGGACGTTAATATCATTTTGTTCTTTTAAAGATGTTTTTATGCATTTCTTTTTGCAGGCTGAATTCATTATACATCACAAATATGAAAAAAATATCCAAAATGAGAAAAATACACATTGAATTTAGACTTGTGCACCAAGTCTAAAGTTCTTGGTTTTAAAAATCATTGCTAATATTGACCTTTTGCATGTGACGTCACGCTCTCCAGTAAACCGGCAAAAACAACTTTGGAAAACCATTTTAGTTGCTCTGCTCAATGCTCCCATCCCTCACTTCCGACGTGCATCATGGCGCCTGAATGATTTGTGACGAAAGTACAAAGGCTCAATACATTAAAATATGAAAATAAATAAATTAAAAGCCTCAAAATTAATGACATTCATGCTTGACAGGTGGACAGAAGCCTGGACTGTTTTAGTACGTCGGTAAGCAGAAAACCAACCATGATGAGCGAACTTTGTTTATACCAAATTTATCGTGCTATAGGCGTTCAGGAATGCCATGAGTGTTCTGGATTTCCTTCAAATTGTTCCCTGTCAACGGCTGGAGAGTCAAAATCAAAGATTACTATCTGATCCACGCGTTCACTGGGTTTATTGTGCTCCGGAGCGATTAAGTAAAACACCACAGAGATGTACAGTTGGATTGGAAACCATTATGTATTTATTCTCAGCTCTTTATGTTGTCAAATCAGTCCTGCCAAAACCAGACTGCCCAGCTTTCTCAGCCCAGATGTTACAAATTTACTGCTTCCTTGTACAGATTAACCTTTTGCACCAACCCCACCACTGCTGTCTGTGCACATTAAGTCATAACGTATATCAGCGGGTTGGCTCGGCACTACTTTTCAGTATTTTCTCCACTATTTGTCCAATGAGAGCATTAATAATTATCAATAAATCTGAAATTGTCATTAAATGCAGTTACTCTGAGAAATCACACTTCGTTATGTGACTTATGTCCTGACAAAGCAAGTTGATAAATATTTTTCAAGAGCTGTATTTGTGCTTGTGGTTCTACATTGGAAAAACAAAATCTCACCAAATATTCTTGGTCTAGTTTCTGGTGCAAATATCTAAGTATACTTGAAATTAGATAAAACTAACTTTTCAGTAACTTCTCATTAAGATTAAGTCAATAATTCTTTAATATAGATGAAAAAGTACTGGTTCCATAGGCAGGTTATGGTTTTCTCATGTGTTATAAATTAATCTGCCAGTGGAACAAAAACTTTTTCATCAATATTAAAGAATAATTGACTTAAAACAAGCTCTATAACTTGCTAAAAAGTTTTGTCTTAATTCAAAGATATTTACACTAGAAACTAGACTAATATTTCTCTACTAAGTTGCAGTGAATCTCAAAAAGACAGAAGAGACAACAGAGATTATGACTGAGGACGGCGTAAATGGCTGGATTAGCATCACCTGATGCTGGACGGTCTTCCAAAGTGGGACGTGTGATTTAACAGTAAATCCTTCATCCAAAGTGAATCTGTAATCCCTGTGGATCATTAACAAATCAAGGTGCTGCTGCTTCTACTTTCACGTTCCTTTGATGCACATCCATTTAATATCTGTGAATTTGAAAAACATTCTGAAGACATTATAAATCAGTTTTATAGTGTAAACGCTGTGAAATGATCACTAAATTCTGAATTTGGGGTTTTAATCCTGAAAAGTTTCAGTTTTTGCCTTAGAAGAAGTCCAGTCATTACAATTTGTTGGAGTGTGTCCTGACTTTATGTAATAAATCGCTGTGGCAAAACTATCGGTTCTAGCTTTATTGCTGAAAGTGACAGCTTTCACATGCATGATGGGAGCGTCTTTCGTACTCTCAACCTCTACAGGAGTCACGGGAGAGTCTGCAGACATAAAGATCTAAACAACAACCAGGATATATGAAAACTTCACGGTCAAAACTTTAAGAATCCACTGATACTTTTGGGTCGAAACGATCAATTGATTAATTATCAAGTAACTTAGTAATTGAATAAACCATGTTTGGAGCATACTGGCTCAAAAAAGGCAATTTTGGTTAAAGAACACATTCAGAGCAGTAATTAAAGCAAAACTGCCCAAAATATTTTGGATTTAAGAAAAAAAAAAACATTCTTTTTCTGCAAATGTTCTACACAGAAATATTAAAGTGACGATTTTATCCTCACACAGTCCAACATGTGTAAAAAAAATAATCCTATTAAACACCTTTTGCAATTCAGTTATTTGAATCTCAGCATCATGACAGTTTAAGTTTGTTTTTTTTATGTCTTCAAAGGCAGTTAGACAGTTTTCACACATTTGACTTGCATTTGTGACAAACATGTTCCCTGTGGCGTCCGATTCTGAGACGTTGAGAGCAAATCAATTAGTCCTGGATAATTTATGGCTCAGGAACCAAAGCCTTTCTGCAGGTCACTGCATTGAAACATCTGTCACTTTACTTGCTGATAGCTCTATTTCTATCAGGGGATACAATAATTTCACAATATGACATACAATATTCTGATCACAATACATTATGTATCACAATATTTGACCAACAATACGATTTGATGCACTTTTACAATTTTCTGAAAGATTTTGGAAAGATAGAGTGATTTTAGTGACGTTTTGTGTTCCGTAGACTTGGATTTAATTAACTGAAAACTGATTAAAAGCACCAACTGCACAATACGTGGCTCTGATTGGACAGGGTCTAACAATCTACAGCTGGACAAAATGAATCAAAGATGCAGTGAGAAAAATAGTTTCTGTCATTTAATTCATATGGACTTGACATAAAGTTTAAAGTCTCAACATTAATCTGGGAGCTGAGTTTGTGCAGCTGAGTCTGCGGCACAAACCAGCACCAACGTAGTCGAGTTAATTGACATCCATTTTGTTTGAATTGAAGGAGGTGGGATGTGGGAAGCTGGTTGACCTTTGACCTTTATAAACTTTTCCTTATATCTTTAACATGATAGCAGAACAAACAAAAATGTTTGCTGCACAAACGTAGCACGAACATTTGATTCCAATTCTGTCTGAGTTGAAAAAGGTCGGGGGGCAACTTCACTCAGGTCTCAGACTGCCAGGATCTCATCATACTTTCAGTCTCTGATACTTTTTCTCAGTTTCTAATAAGAATGATCGATCCATCATCATGATAATCCAGACTGCGGCTGGAGGTTCCCCTCTTCGTTTTCCAGCTCAAAACAGAACCACTGCATGCTGCGCGTTCATTCTGCAGGTGTCCTTGATATACAGAACACAAACCGCTAAGCTAAAAGCTCATTGTGAAGCGGATGCCACCAGTCGCTCCGACATCCAGACTTTGCATTAATTTCGTGATCTCATTGCTTTTGCCACTGCTCCGTTCCGCTTCTCTTCCGGAACGGACAGAGAAGCGGACTTCACTTCGTTTTTAGCAACAACATACAGCCCATAATTACTTGTTGAAGATTAGAGATTTCCAAAAACAAAGGTTAACGTTTCGTTTTTTACGTTTGGAAGGTCATTCCCTTTCACATACCTGGAAAACCCGTTTTTGGCATTTCTCTGAAATGGTTTACTGATTTGATCATAACTCCGGTTTTACTTGGGCTATTAACACAATTTAAAAACTGGTGTGTAGTTTATAATGTGCACTTTGAGCACAAGCTGAAAATGAGACTGGGGAAGGCAGAGTCTTGATGCTACCTGTCACAAACCAGACATGTTGAAAAGACGGTACAAGTCTATGGATTCCTATGGTTTAACGTATCAAAATATCAATAAATATCGTAGAATCAATGTAATTACACACCTAATTCTTGTGGCATTGTGCTGTTTCCTGTCACATCCTGAAACTTCAGCCGAAGACTTTAGTGAACTCTGACGTCTTTTTTATTAACATTTGAAATTTTTGCATCGAGACCAAACTCGATCCTTGTCATGTTTTGCGAAGGCACCAGTTTGGTTTCTCTCCAAATTCCTTTCAAAACTCAGGAACCTCAAACAAAACTCGGGCGCCAATTATACGTCTTGCATAATCGTTTTCCACAAACTTGCCTTTGAAATCACAGCGTACTTGGTAAAAACAAACTGAAACAGATTTATGCTGAACACAGAACTTCGGTAAAAAGAAAGATAAATATGCTGTCAGTTGATCCAAGTTCGTTGTTCTTCCTTTGTTTTTGTTTTTTTCTGCACAGATTTAAAAAAATAAAAACATAAATACAGGAAGCAGCGAATGAAAATGAACATACGTTTTTGGACAGCTCTTTGATTATGCAATCCGGGCCTGTAGCACAGCTGTAAAACATTTGTTTTTAAATAACATGACATATCGGGATGTTTGGCTGTGGTACAAAGTCTGTCTCTTTCTGTTAGCCTCTCGCTGAGAAGTTATTCCCAAAGAATCCGTCTCAGAAAACAATGCATTCATCATCGTTATTAACATATGAAAACATAAATGCATCTGACGGATGAGTTACCAGAAGCAGGAGACGTCCTCAAGGAAAAGATCCGGCATCCCAGCTGAAATCCTGAAGGTTCCTCTCAAAGCCGAGCCGCATTTCAGCCACTCGGAAAGTCTGTACGCTGCCAAATGAAGCACAGGTGGCGTCTCTATGCCAACATGTTCTGTCGGGCCTCACCGCTGCATGGTGCCAAGGTTTTCAGTCTGTACAATGATCTTGGCTCTTTTTGGAAATGACTTGTTGAAATGGGTTTTACTGTGAATCACTGGAGTCTCTGGGCGGCATCAACGTGGAAGTCACCACTCTGCAGGCTCCGTGGGCGCCGTCTCCAGTTCTGGGCTCTGCGTTTTTCTGCCCTTCTTTGAATGGGAGACTTCACAGTCTTAAAAGCAGAAAACATAAAAACATCCATGTTATCATTAATTACAGCTAAACAAAGCATTCTTTGTGCAGGTGCAAGCTGGCTGCAGAAAGCGTCAGGCTGCTTTTAAACCACACAGGTCAAACTCAACCCAATCTGGCCTGCAGTAGCTTTTTATTTGGTCAAATTATGTCATTATGTCCTTTCAGTTTTTTGACAAATCTGTGAAATTCACACAAAATCAACAAATCTTCACATTTGTCTTTAATTTTACAGCAAAAATTCTCAAAATTGATCAAAAACATTGAATTTAAGTGACAACTCTGAACCAAATTTTGGTATTTTAAGGACGAAGTAACAAAAAACAAGTAAATCAGACAAAAGAAAAATATTTCCAAAGCTTCAACATATTTTTACTCAAGTAAAAGTAAAAAGTAGCCATCTAAAAAATGACTCAAGTTAAAAAAAAAGTATTTGGTATAAAGTCCTGATTAGTTACAAGTTCTGAGTAACTAATCAAATTATCAACCATTTAATGTTTAAAAATTACATAATCAGATGGACCAAAATATGAAGTAGAAATGTTTGTATTTTAAGGACACAAGCAACAAAAAAAAAAACTAAAGAGAATCATTTCGATGTGAAACATTAAGAAAAACTGCTGGTCTGCGTCTGATGAGGCAGAGATGAGGATGTTGAGGATTTCTGGTGAGCGGATGATGGATTTGGATCTTTAAGGAAGGAGGAGGCCACAGAGGAAAGCTGGTGTGATAGAAGAGGCTCGTAGGGATTTTTTGGGGGTGAAAACAACAAATTAGGATGGTTTCTGAATCCATACAGGGGAGAAAAGCAGGAATAAATCCCTCTGATGTTTCCCAGAAAACAAACCTGAACAATCCCCTGGATATATGAATGTTTAAAAACAGCATATCAGCTTTTTATTGAAAATGGGACACCACCCAGGTTTGTGTGTGAAATTAGACAATAAGTACTTTTAGGTACTGAAACGTTATATAGCAACAGGACCTGACGGGATTCTTGTTCTTCCTTTTTAAATCCTTCCTTCATGGGGTCGGCCTGCACAGATTAAAACCCATATGAGGCACGAAACTGAGAAGCATAACTTCCTGATCACAAATGGTCAGTCGCCACATGTTGGGAGCTCCGAAATGGGAAAATGAGGAAGACCTCAGCTCTACTGTCCCCTTCACCGGTCAGCCTTCAGTGGAACTGGTGGTTCATGTCATTATTGAAAATCTGGTTTGGGGTGATTGCATGTGATTGGGTGACGACTGACAAAGATGGATGGCTTACTGCTGAGGATTTTTTAAAAAGCGAGTGCACCTCTTTTGCAAACACTTTCCAGTGGCAGCAGTCCAGATGGTTCTGAGTAAGGGAACGTTCAGGACGTCAGGTTACACATTAACATGGCCTCGTGGGAACCTGCAGGCACAAAATCTGTCCAGATGGCCTGGCAGAGTCTGTGGTCCAACCTGGAGCATCATCTTTGACCCCGAGCTGGAGAGACACTCACACAACACCAGAGAGCTTGGGGGGAAAAAAACCAAAACAAAGGACGCAGATGGCTTCCTGCATGGCAAATTGACAGAAAACTCCACCTTTCGTCATGTTCAGTGTCCAGCCATAACCCCACATGGAACAGATCAGGATGCAAACATACATTTTCATGTAAGAAATCGGATAAATGTCGATGCGTCTTTTATGTGCCGGAGGGAGCGAATTTTATTTGCAATCCGGGTTTAAACATCTTCTGTGTTGAACTCACAGTCCTGAGAAGATTCTGTGCTGGAAAAGCACTCCCAGAAAAGGCAGCACATGGTGTGGCACAAGTTATCCACCAGGGATTTTGGAGACGCGAGCCTCCAGCTGGACTCCGGCACCCTGTCGGGCTCCTCCGTTAACTGATCCCAAATGTCTTGGATCGACTGTGGAAGCTCCTGCTGGAACACCTGGACACACCAACACACACACAGCTGACAGGTAGGCTTTAAAACCACAAGTCACCTGACAAACACCAGGAAAATAAAGTTATATTACAGCAGCCATTAAATCCCGGCAATAGCTGCCTGTTTGTAAAAGGATATCCTTTCAAAATGTCTTTCTGGATCGTATCTTTACCTTTTGCATGTTTTTATATTTCCATTTGAGTCTCAACTGCGTCTAAAAACAATATAACCACTTAAAAAAAACACACAGCCGTTTTATGGCAATAAGTTTCTTGGGGAGCCGTTTGAAAAGCCTCGACTGTGAAATCACGTTCGATGGGGACTGTGCCGTTACCTAGCAACCCCAGCAGAGCCCAGGCCGTTACCTAGCAACCCCAGCAGAGCCCAGGCCGTTACCTAGCAACCCCAGCAGAGCCCAGGCCGTTACCTAGCAACCCCAGCAGAGCCCAGGCCGTTACCTAGCAACCCCAGCAGAGCCCAGGCCGTTACCTAGCAACCCCAGCAGGCCGTTACCTAGCAACCCCAGCAGAGCCCAGGCCGTTACCTAGCAACCCCAGCATGAGCTTTATTTATCACAATGTTTTGTGGTAGTGTTGTAATAAAATCGATGATTATTAACTATTTATCTTCACGACGCCACAAACATAAATGCTGAACTTGAAAAACGTTTACTTGCCGTAGCTTTCTTAAAAAAAAAGTGCTTTCCATCACATGTGATCATATTTTCTAATTTACTGATATTTATTGATGCTCTCATGGAAAAATAAATAGTTAAATAGTCCCAAAATCTAATTTTTGTCAGTTTAACATTGATTTATTGTGTCAACAAAATTCTTAACATGACAAGAAATTTTTCACAAGAAATGATAAACAATTCAAAAAATGTCCACAACCTGAGTTCCAGCACATTTGGTCAATGGGTTTTACCTCTGTATAATGGCTGCTGGAATAGACAAGTGTCTTGTTATTTCTGACTTGCTTTCCAGAAGCAACGTGCTGGATTCTTATTGGTTGTGGAGGACGCTCTACTAATGCTTTTCATAAATGTACAATTGTATAATTGCGCATCTTTTCACGTGTGAATGTAAACGCTGAGTTGGGGGGCGTGGCCAGCAGCTTATTTGATTTAATACTGCCAAAATAGGCAGTATTGATCAAACTAAAATCTCATTAAGAATGATTTAGTGTAACAAATTTAACAGACTTAAACTGACCTGTTCACAGAAGAATAATTGGACACCTTCCGGTTAATCTTTGATGAACATAAACTTCAAGCTGCTGCTCAAAGTATTTTTTACTCCTGAACTTTGGGACCAACTGCATAAAATCATTCCTGAGATTGGCTTCTTCAAATTTTAATTCTTTATCTGAAGCTAAAATTAGTTTGTCTGTAATATTTTTTCCTTTTCTGTGTGCAAAACAAACCAGAGTCTGGGCTCCAGATCCAGAATGATTTCATGCAAAAAGACTTTTAAGGAGGTTTATTGTGAATTGGTGCTGAATAAATAAACTAAATTTAATTTTAAGGAGGACTCCACAGTTCTTTCAGAAATGTAATCTACAGTTTTAAAATAACTAGAAGATTAAAAAAATGTGATTTCAGGTTATTACTAGAGCTGCTCATGACGAACAGATAAAATATTTTAGCATTGTGACCAAGGCAGTCTGAGATCCTAATGTTTGAGGGAGATAAAAGTCGGGGGTCATCACAGGAAAACATCCAGGGCCAACAAAAGAGCCTCTATTTTACAATGCTATATTTGTTTGTTAAAAAAATTATGAACAGAAGAAATACTTTAAACTACAAATCACGAGAGGATGAGCGAGATATGAATCCAGCATCAGAGATGCGATCAGCTTTGCTCCAGACTCTGTCTGCCGTCTTTGCCTCACGCGGCTGCAGGGTTCCTGTGTGCTGCTGTCTGCAGGGGGACTGTGGAGATTAATGCACGCCCTGCTTTTGGAAAATAGTCTTAAGTGGATTAAAATATTGGATTTAAAAACAAATTTCAGCACAGATAAGCCGTTATAAAAGGAAAACCTGCAGACAGAACTGGTATTTATTCCCTCCTCTGCACTTTACTGAATAATCAGGCGCTGCATCTTGTACTTTCACCTCCCCTGAACTCTTGTTTTCAGTCATAAGCAGAAGCTACACTTAGGTTTCCTTCAATGAGAGAATTAGTTCCCGATATTAAACAGATTACATCAATGTGACATTAGTTAGTGAATTGGTTAATTTTGGGAGAATGTGAGCGCAGCTGCGGAGCAAACATTTGAACTCGGTCTTACCTCAGCAGGATGCGACTGAACAAAGACTCCCTCAGCATCCCTGAACCGTCTCTCCAACTCCGCTGTGTACGGACGCGAAGGATGCCTCTCCGGCAATACCCGGATGATCTGAAATCAGAGCCCATTTCCAGTTTATAGCTCCTTTAATTTGGCAAGATCACTTAGTGACGGAAGAAGCATAAAACTCAAGAAAACCTGTTAATGCACAGTTCCCACAAGGGTGAACCAGAAGTGATCTGACATCTAGGTAAGCAAGCGCAAGACGAAGCATAAATAAACCACGGCTTCCAGACCAACAAAAGAAAGCAGAGTACCCAAAACATTAATCAAATAATTTTTATTCTAATTGCTCAACAAATTTTCATGTTTCTCAATCCATACGATGTTCTTCTATTTGACATTTTTTACCACTTTATATTGGTACACTCACTTTTATAACAACTAAAGGGATAAGTGGAAAAACCTCTGTACTTTTGAGACGGTACAGAACAAAAATGTCTAATTTTACTGTTTGACAATCAGTATGTACCGCCTTCTGATGCTGATGATGGATTCCTGTGAGAAACAAAAAGCTGCTGAGTAATGCAAGAACCAGAGAGTCAGAAAAAGCCGAGTCACTGATTCAAGAGAGCACCGGTGAGCCTCAAACAAGAAGCTGCCGTTGAGTTAAATCAACCAAAGACTTGAACCAAGAGTGTGTGAACGACCTGGTGGCTTCACATGCAGATTTCTACCTGTGCACGTTTTTTTTTTTTTTAAGTTGCATATGTGACGTGATAAAAAAGTCCCACCAATTCCAGTTTGGTAAAAAAAAAAAAAAGATCCAAAATCTAATAGGAGTGAATCAGAGTCTGGGTGTGAGCTATCTGCACTCTGGGCCAACAATCTGTGAGAGACACTGAGAGCAGACAGAAATGCAGAGATTTAATGTATAAACGGTATATATGGAGACAAAACTGTGAGCATTAAAACAGTTTAAGTTCAATGAACTGCATGTTTCACAAGGGAAAAATCTGGAGTGTGTGACATCATCATACTCTAAACTGAACAAGTAGGAAAAAATCATCAGACTTAAACTTGTGACTGTGTAAAACCATAAAAAGGTCTTGAAACGACAACGTGGTTCATAAAAGTCCAATTTTCTTTGAGCTGTTTAAAAATCAAACTGTGTTTCTGCTGGAAAGTGAAGTTGAGCTTCAAAAAGTTTTCACTAAAATCTCATTAAAGACGGTCCAAAAAACATTTTGTGTACCTTTATAAACTCTTTTTTTAGGGAGAGGAGCAAACTAGAAACCAATAGATAAACGGTAGGGATTGTATTTATGCCTCTTATTTAAGACGGCATTAAATAAGAGGCATAAATCTCAATTTAATCACCTGCAAAAATCTAGTTTGAATGTATATCTGAGGAGCAGTTGCATTAAACGTTTTCATTAATAAATACAAAGAAATAGGAAATACACATTTACATTTGTGACACTATGACACAGTTAATGTGCTGTTTACATGTAAAAAAAATATTGTTCTTAAACCCTGGAGGTTCTCTTGACATGAGGAACTTGTTTTATTTGTTTATTTTTTTCCACCAAAGGAAAAGGTGTGATCATATCATGCGCTTGCGAAACCGACTGTTAGTTTCAGGACAAAGTGGAGCTTTAACCTGGAGTCACGCCAGCAGCGGCGTCGGCCGTTTCAAACACAAGCCGCGTGACAGAAAACCAGATAGAGGCCAGACTATGGGGAAGATAAACTCATCCTCAAGCATTAATCACGACGGGCTTCTCAGTTTTTACACATTCTGCTTTTTTTAACTGACTAATGATTCGCTCTGATTGGTGCAAAATGGAAGAAATCAGTTGATTGATTGGCGTTTTAAACAGCATTTCAAAACAAAAATAAAAACGGTGGATTTCTTGTCAGAAAACAGGAAGCTACTAGTTTGGAAACTGCATTACGCAGAGTCAAAATGTTCCCACAACGTGTTTACTTACGCAACTGGGACCACTGGAGCGCAACATGAGTTTCCATGCTTCCAAAAGCAAAGAGGAATAATAAATCCTGGAGATATTAAAGACTCTGCGCTGGACTGATGCGCTGCAGCTGACTGAAATAACTGATCAACTCACTTAGCTCCAAATACCAGCCACTATTAGGTTACGCGTCAGTCAAATGCAGTTAGGGGAAGTTATTTTTCATAAGTGGTCTGAATTTATGCCGGTAATTCCTGACGTGTGATTCTCAAGAGTGAGTCAGAGAGCCTGCCAGAACAAAGAGTCACATTGGCTTATCGCAGAAATCTGGAACTTTTAGACCAGATTTAACAAATAACTTAATGTATTTTGGAAAAGGAAAAAGGCTTTGTTGATCCGGCGAAGGTGGGAAAACTGGTGTGAGCTGGTGTGTATATCTGAGGAGCAGTTGCATGCAGAGAGAGATAAAAATTAATCAGATGGGTTCAAAACACGAAAGAATAAATAATTTCTGTTTGAGATTATCTGAATGGGTCTGGCTCTACCACTCCGGCTGGTGTGTCTGTTTAATAACAACTTTCACTGCCATCCTTTCATCAAAAGTTTGATTTTAAACATTTTAATCAGAAAGTGGTCTGTACTTTGACTGGGCCACTTGGATGTCTTTCTGCTTCAGTCAATCTGTAGTTTTCCATTATTGTCCTGTTTTGGGCCAAACTTCACCTGTCAAATAAATGTCCTCACACTTTCGACTCAATGCCAACAATGTGCACAAAAAAATATACGGCAAACCATTATACATTATACCGCCACTGCCGTGCTTCATAGTTTGCAAACGTAAGTAAAAACTATGATATTGTCAAAAAAAACCTCCTGCCACTTCTCTTTTAATCATTTTATTTTAAAGAGAAGTCTATGGTCATTTTTTAAATGAGAGTGAATGATATTTTCATTTATTCACAGGCCAAGGCAGTTCAAAGACGTTTAAATACAGTCATAATTTATGGAACGATAAGCATTAAATTTAGTCAAATACCATCAAAGTCATCAAGCAAATACACTTCAAATATGTTGATCAGTTTTCCAGTTGGTATGAATCAAAGGCAACGCTAAACAGCCTTAATTCAAATTGAATCAGTGTTTCGGCTGTTTTGCAGTTTTCTGGAAGTTTGAGAATACCTGCAATTAGATTTATGCTCTCTCTCAATAAATACGTGTGGTGATGCGATTGGTTACACTAAGTGTTTTTGGCAGGAATGTGGCGCCATAAGAGCCTTTTTAATTCAACCCTGTAAAAGTGCCATACTTGTTTAGTCTTTTCCTAGTTGACCGGTCAAGAACTTTAACATTCAATCTGCTGATTGAGGCATGTGGGTTCTGAGATGGAGCTCAACGGGTTTCCTGTGATTTAACTGGGTCATTCATTCCAGGGAAGACTGGCAGATGTTTTAAATACTTCTCTGTGGTAAATAATCTGCCTCTCTGCAGAATGATGAACTTTGAATTGTTGAAGCAGTAGTCTTATAATGCTTCCCACATTGAGCTCTTTGCTGACGTTTTTCCATATCTGTGTTACTCCAGAGCAGAAAACCACCAAAACTCCTACTTTTATGGAGGTGTTCACGCTATTTACTGCCTGCTATTTCCCCCCTTTAAAGATACTTTGGGAGAAGGAAGGATGGACTTTCCTCGTTTCAGTCACAACTTTTTCATTCACAGTGTGTGACTAATAAAATATCGACACACCCAGATTATAACAATAAGATTAGTTTCCATTCTACGCAGATGATACACTGCTCTACATTACAATATCACCAGGTGACTCTGAATCCATCCAATCACTGAACACATGGTTAAACAAATAAATGTGTGATGAACTTTAACTTTCTTCAAATGAACAGAAACAACTTTAGTTATTACTGTTGGACTTAAAAAGAAACGATATGGAGAAAAAATTAATTATTACAGCAGGAAACTAGAGATCAGGTGGGGAATCTGGGTGTAGTGATGGACTCAGACCTGAACATTCAGAATCACATAAAGACGGTTACAAAGTTGGCCTTCTATCACCTGAAGAACATTTCCAGGATTGGAGGACGACTGTCTTAGCAAGATCAGAGAATAGACTTTAAAATACTGTTAGTTTGTAAATCATGAACGTTTTAAAGATCTGCTGGTGTTGTATCAACCTCCCAGACCTCTCTGGTTCTGGTTCTGCTCTGCATCCCCAGAACCAGAACCAAACATGGAACATTCAGCTTCTATGCACCACAAATCTGGAGCAAACTTCCAGAAAACTTCAAATCAGTTGAAACACCTTAAAACGACACTAAACCCCCATCTGTTTAGAGTTGAGTTTGATTCATAATAACTGGAACATTGATTAATTCTAGTCTCCAATATTTAATGAGGATTATTTTGGATAATTTTGGTGATGAAATCTGACACAATGTGATGTCTTTGCTTGTTCGCTGTTCCCAACATAACTGGTTACTGTGTTGTTTTTATCATGTGAAGCACTTTGAACCGACTTGTTTCTGAAATGTTCCAGAAAAATAAACTTGACCTTCTGCCTGACTTGACTTTGTCTCTGGAGGAAACAGAGGCACAGAAATGGATCCTAACTGTCTCTGTCCTATTAGCATTGGCAGATATTTGCTAAATGTTTGATGATTTCTGTGCCTAAATAAACGTTCTGCCTGTATAAAAGGAAACGAACCTTTTTTAAGACGCCTTGGTTGACTTGAAACCACAGCCTCTGGAGAATCAGCTCATCCAGTCCTTCCACCTTTAATTTCTGAGAACAGGGGACAGTTGGCATATTAAAACATTAAAACAATACATTTCCACTAATATTTCATTTAGAAATCTCAAAATTAGAGGCATGAAACCGGACCCCCAGCACAACAATCATTTGTGAGACTTAGCGTTGGCGCAAAGTCCAGACATTTGAACAGGGCAGTAAATTTGTAGAACTGAATGTCCTGCATGCGGTCTGATACAAGCAAACTGAACTCTGTGGTGAAACTATAAAAATCTTGATTCATACCATTTTGCTGATATTCGACAGCTTAAAGATTTCCTCGTGATGAACTCGGATGGCGTAGTTGATGGGAAAGTTGTGCTTCTGTAACAGAGAAACGGAGATAGATGCATAAAAACTAACCACAAGTTCAGGTAAAATCCTTTAAAGTCCCTTCAAAATGTCTGTCATTAAATCAAAAGGAGAAAAGTTTCAGAAACTTAAATGTTTAGCAAACTCTGGTGCTGCTTGACTAATAGTTATGTTTTGTTTAGTTTCTAGTTCAAATGTCTTATTACACTTGAATTAATACAAAACTCACAAGTAACTTTTTGGTAAGATACAGAAGCTTATTTAAAGTCAGTAATTCTTGGATATTGGTCAGAATTATTAGTTTTACTGGCAGATTATTTCACTAGTAGGAAAATGTCTTTTTATCACTAAAAAATCTACAAGTGGAAATATTAATTTTAGTCACTTCAAACAACATCCTCTTTTTGCTGAAAAGTCACTTTAAAGTTTGTTGTATTTTAATTTTACAAAGCACTAGAAACCAGAGTTAGTTACATTTACTCAATTACATTCACTTGAGTAACTTTTTGGGAAACATTTACTTTTAGTAGTACTTTAAAGACGCTGTACTTTTTACTTTTACTTCAGTAATTTTATTATGAAGTATTTCTACTCTTATTTGAGTAAATGATTCACCAGACACAGACACACACCTGGAGCTTTTGTTAAAGTTTCATAAGTTTTTTATTGAAAGAAACTGATGTGGAAAATTTTTCTTTTGCCTGATTTTGTTATTTTTTGTTACTTACATGAATTATTGCTATTTTGGCTCTTAAAACCCCCAAATTTCCACTTCACTTTATACTTTGGTCCATCTGATTATGTAATTCTTAAATAATCTATAATTTGATCAGCTTTTCAGTACTTGAGTTGACTTTTTACCAAATACTTTTTACTTTTACTTCAGTAAAACATGTTGAAGTAGTGCTACTCTTACTTGAGTACAATTTGTGGATACTTTACCCATCTCTCCTAAAAATCAGACAAAAATACTTAGGATTTTGTGTTTTTGCTGTGAACCTGTTTGTGTTTGTTTTAATGTTTTAAACAGTTTTTATTGCTACTTTAAACTACTTGAATCTTTCCTCACATGCTGTAAAGTTGGAGGGTTTTGAACTGTTTTCCAAAACCATTTTAGAGGAAACCGTTAACAGATAAAGGATTTCATTCGCGCTCGTTGCTTCAGGATCGGTTCCGGTCCGATTTTCCGTCGCCTCGTCTTACCATGTACCGTCGCCTGTGGCTCAGGCTGTCGTTGAGCGTCTTGAGGGGCGTGCACATGCTGGCGGGCGTGGAAGCCATCAGAACAGGAGCCATTAGAAAAAGGCCTACGAGAGACAGATGGAAGACAAGGTTGGATGTCTGACATGTGCAGCTCAAGCCTCCAACATCCTGACTTAACAGCTGGAGTTTAAGCTACAGCTAAGATTTAATCTAGAAATGTGCAATGTGCTGTTATGTTTCCGGTACATCTCACCTTGAGATGATCCAGTTAGTACAAATGATTAATAATTTGATCAGTTATTCAGAACGAGTAGATTTTTTACACTAACCCACCCTAACCCTAACCTTAACCCTAACCCTATCCCTAACCCTAAACCTAAAACAGACAAAAGCTTTTTTTAAATCTTAAATGCAACATTAATATATTTTTGTACAGTTTTGAACTAATTACTACTGCTTTTTTTGTCTGTAACCTGCAGTTAGCAATTAATAAAATTATTAAGTTAGTTGATGATTATTTCAGTAATTAATTCGATTAATAATTTTAGCCCTAAATCTGTCGTATGCTTTTCTTCACTCGAGATTATATGGAAATAATTTACAAAAACAAAAAATATTGTGTGCCAACATTTCCCAAACAGGGTGCACTTAAACTTTATTAAAACACAACCCTGTATGAAAAAAAGAGGAGAGAAAAAAAATCACCCACATTTTAACAGCAGTCATGCCCCAATAAACAGATTTCTGACTGGAACAAACAGATAATGATCTTTATTATGCAGCGACAGAAATATGAATTCTCCCACCAGTTAAATATGCACAGCGCTCCTGTTGTTCCCACGGTTAAACCCTCTGAGATAACATGAGGACAGCTTTTAAAAGCAAAGCTTGTAGGGTTGATCTGAAAATTATCAATCAAAAGTGTGAAAAATTCAGACTCTACTTTCACAAATTACAGGCCGAGGACCAAATGTTTTCAAATCAGACAATCTGGACTTGTTTGAATATTTTCTAATGCCAAACAAATACATTTTGAAAAACACATTTTATATTTGCTAAAAATAGAAATATGTTTCTTATAGTGTTTGCCAGACTCTTATAGTTACTGTAATGCTCTGCAGTGTCTCGGTGTTTGTGGCTGCTTTCGTTTGAAGTCAAACCCAAATGCATGAAACTGATGGTTATGGAAATCTGGAGCATCTTTAACGATAAAAAACACAAGAAAAAACAAGGAGAATGCAACAATGAGCAACAAAAAACAGAGTCCATACAGAGGCGGGGAGGAAAATAGAATGGGAACCGGGTGAGCTAATCTCCCCGCTGTTGTCAACTCAGCAACTTCTTTGTTATATTCAGCAACATTTCAGACCAATAAATAATTAAATAAATAAAAAAATCGACAAAAATCTGAATTGGCAGGTCAGGCTTTTTGAAGATTAGTAAAGGGCTAGAAAACTAACCACAATACTTTCTTTCTTCTTCTTCAAATTGTTTTCAACAACTGCTGTCTGTTGCAGATAAGATGCTGCCTGATCATAGGCACTCCTCGTAACCCCTCTCCAAAAAACCCCAACTCTGATGACGACGTCTGCCCTCTGTGTCGCTTTGAATATAAGCGTCTTTACGGTTCCCCTCCCAAATCCATTAGCAAAGCACACAGCGATATATTTTCTGTCTCCAGCTCGGTAATGGCGACTGCTGGACTTACAGGAAGCTCATTTCTCCTCTTTGGTTGGAAACATTTCAGTCAAGATAATCACCACATTCTCCATCATCAGCAACGTGATAAAACATCCAGATAACGAGCAGCATACAGAAAACACACCAGCTCTCTTTGGGTTAATGTGAGGGATGAGGCGAGAGGAGTAATTGTGGAGTTATTATTTCAGAGAAGCAAATGGTAAAGTATTGGAGGGAGTTATTGTGTGCTGAAGAAAAGGTATGCAACTTATCAGCACTGATCCTGGGATTTGTGTGGTTATCTCTGAAACAGATGCTTGAGCCGGTGTTGCAGTCAAGTCCACCTAACCCGAGACCGAGACAAGACCAAGACCAGCTTACATCAGAGTTATCAGGTAAGAATAGCACTACTTCAACATGTAAGTACTTTTTCTCAAGTAAAAGTAAAACGTGTCTGTCCAAGAAATTACAAGTAAGAAAAAAATAAAGTTTTGGTGAAGAGTCTGATCAATGACTGATCAAATGATCAGTCATTTAAGATTTAAACATTACAAAACAAGATGGACCAAAATATAAAGTTAAGACGAGATTCTGGTATTCTACAGACAAAAGTGACAATAACTCATATAAGTAAGAAAAAAACATAAACTCAGGCAAAAATATTTTTTTTCCAATAAAAAACTTTAAATATAAAACTTTAAGAAAAACTGCAGGTGTGTGTCTGGTGGGTTTTTGGTTGAAACATGTTTATTTTTCATTCAGTGGGTAGAAAATCTAGAAATTTTACTCAAGTTACTCAAAACCGTTACTCAAGTAAATGTAACTTGTTACTCTCCAACTCTGCTTCCTATAAGCCACAGTAATAAAATAAACACTAAAAACTTAGAATTTCACATTTTGTTCTGAATAACAGCTGAATTACATTCCTGGCTTTATAAGCTGTGAGAAAACAAAATCGCTGTCTCAGCAACTGCAGGTCAGACATAATGGGAGGAAAAAAACCCCGGAGATGAAGTCTCTTTTCCTCACACTGAACTTGTAAATTGGAAACGGTTGGAGGACTATTTATCTGCTAAACTGTATCCGTAGAAGATGGGTTCCAGATGGCGCGCTGCGTTATTAAGCTAATCTGTGGGAAGCTCGCCACCGGCGACTGTGTCAGAAACTCGGAAACTGTCACTCAAATGTAACCTCGAGGGTCTCTTTTCCTATTAACACTTCGGCTCTGCGTCAGGCGGCTCTGATTAGAACCACTGCAGGACCAACGGGTCACTTAGATAAAACCCCAGATATCAATCTGTGCTAATAGCTGGTGTTGCTCAGGATGAAAACAACATGGCGACGCCAACGAGAGCCAAAGTTTGCTCGTTTATCAGAGCGATGATGATGCTAAGCGTGTGTGTCCCAAAGACTGCAGGCTGTCTCACTTTAAAACTCAGTTCAACGGAGATTAAACTGAATGGACTCTAATTACCTACTTCACTTTCATTTTCTCATTCTTCGTAAGCCAGCATCCACTAAAAACAAATAAATAAAAACACAAACGTTCAGCCCTAACTGATATTCACTAAATGCTGTTTGCTGGAAAGACTTAAGAGTAAGATTTATTCTTGTAACAATTTGCAGAGGGAAATTTAAATGCCATGAATTCAATTACATCTAATAAATTATATTAAGAATAAAGTTAAAGACACTGCAAAACCAAAATATCAGCAAGTATTTTTACTCTGGCGACTGGTGCAAATGTCTTGGCAGGTTGAAATAACACAAAACAACTTCCAAGTCAAAAATATACACAAGCTTATTTTTTCTCTATTGTTCCTTGATTAAAAAATTCTAGTTCCACCAGCTGATCATTTCATGTTGAATAAATGTCTACTCCAAGTGAAATACTGGGGGCATTTTGTGCACCTTTAGCTGTGCGTTTACACCTGTTGCCACAGCGAAAGCATTGTAAATCAGTGTTCATTGATCTATGCAGTAGAGAAAATTCTTTGATCAATGTGAGAAGAAACGTTTAGAAACCAGTCAGTCTGCAGGGAAAAGTCCAGTTCATGAACCTTTCAGCCAGAAACATCCCACAGCAGGTGCCAAGGTGTTTATGTAGCACACACTCCTGCAGTCAGAAAGTTGAAGGTTTCACAGCAGGCAGACTCACAAAGGGTTAAAGGGGGAACGTAAACGATCCAAGAGGTTCCACTAACTTATCCAACGCTTGCCAAAAGCTGACATGCAAATGCAGCAGCAGATTCCTGAGCTTTAAATGAAGGAATGTTTCCCCGTGAAGATACCAAAGCTGCTGCTCAGTCCAACCTGCTGCAGGGAGAGCGTCGCATCCGCTCTGGAAACGCGTGAACCAGCGACGCTCAGCTGCGACGCTCAGCAGGGAACCTGCAGGCGGCAACGGCTCAATCCAGGAAGTTTAAGGTGGAAGAGCCGCAGAGAAACTTTGTGTTCATTTCTGAAAAGGTTCAAGGTGGAAAAAACAAAGCTGGACGACGACAGAGAGGCAGCAGGCGAGTCTTGATTTGCTCTCAGAGAATTTGACTTTAAGGGAAAAACATCTCCAACAGTTTTGTAGCGGCAGACTCAATATGTTCTTCTCTTCCAGATAAATCAGTTTATTAAAGCATCTGACGTTTTTATTTAAGCCAGATTATCTTAATCTGATCAACTAAGAACACATCTGTGTTTAAGCCTGGACCTCTTGGTTTTAATGCCTCTCTCTTTCTTCGTCAAATTGTTTTTCTTTTTATCCTCTTTTAGTTCATATTTTATTCATTTTACAAATGTTTTTCACTTCTTCTTGTGTTTACATTTTTTTGAATATTTAATTTTTTATTGTTTATTTTTAAATGTCATACTTAATGTATTCATTTTTATGCATAAATATTTTCCTAATATTTTGTCTCATGTATTCATTTCATGTCTGGTTGTAAAACTCTTTTTCAATGTATATTTTTAATTTATTTTGTTTTGTAATTTAATAAAATTTTTATTTTCCTAATTTTTATTTTATATTTTCATAGCCTTTATTTTTAATGTAATTCATCCTTCCTATTTTATTTTCACCCTTTTTTCTACTGATATTTTCAATTTCTGTTAAAATGCAATATTTCTCAAACATTATTATACATTTACTTATTGTTTCAACTTCTTATTTGTGATTAGCATTTAGTTTAATATTATTCTTTGACTGGTTAAATATTTTTGGTGTGCATTCTTTTTATTATTTAGTTTTTCTCAAACCTATTTGTTTGTTGATCTAAATTTACATTTTTTTGCATTTATTTAAAACTTTGTCACTATTTATAATTTTCCATGTTGATAATATCATTATTGATCATCATTGTTGAATAATCTTTACCTCCACACTGCAGGGTCAGAGGTTAAACCACCGTTGCTGCTAACATCGTAACGTTGT